TGTCCTCATATAAGGTACCATGACGACCTCAAGTCAAAGGACCAATTTCACTACCGAACGTTAGAGATTAACCACCGACACTCAGATAGTTATCCATGTGGAATCTCTCGACGGGTCTCCAATGTTTTGTTCTATAACAAACATCCACGTGTTCATTTAAGTGTCACCACACTTTAACTTGTGAGATCAGCCACTTACTTCACAAGTAAGAAATGCCACACGTGATGGTCTATCCGTAATAACGATATCCGTATCTCGTTATTACTTACGACCACGGATGATTTAAGATTCAATCAGATGTAATTTGTATCTCACAATCACAACTCCTTGTGATTAATAAATTACAAATATTTGAATCTACGGACTCTATTATTTATTTAATTGTCTATTAATTAAATAATAGATCTGCCATTTAATTGCATTAATTATATATAAAAGTATTTATGTCCAAAGTCGATTGGACCTAGGGCATAATACTTACAGGTTCTCAACACAGCTTTTTGATGAATGATTCCTTTTAGGTTATAAAAGTCAACCAATTTAAATTCAGGATCATTATCACTTCTCAAAGTTTTTATTGTAGTTTGGAACTGGTTTTCTATCATATGAATGAATGCTTTGGTGGATAGGCTAGCATATGATTTCCTTTTAAGCATATATACCCATTTGGCACGTGAAAAAACACCTACCACAAAAAGAAAGTACTTAGATCCATCATGAGCTATAGTAGGACATGGACCCCAAATGTCACAATGGATGATCTCAAAAGTTTGCTAGTTTTATGTGTGCTTATAAGAAAAGGTGTCTTGTGTTGTTTTCCTAGAGGACAGATAAAATAAGGAATATTACTAGCATTCTTATAATGAGAAACAATAGAATCATCTGAGATAAGTTTCATTTGAGTAACTAATATATGTCCCAAACGATAGTGCCACAAATGTGGTTAAACATCAAAGCTAAGTACAGAAGCTGCAATAAACAGTTGCCTAAGACTAAGGGCTGAAAGGGTAGTCATTAGAGTTGTGGGTGGAACCTTATGGTGCATGAGTCGATACAGGCCACGCCATACTTCACCCATCCCAATTGTCTTCCAAGACAAAAGGTCCTGTATATAGCAGGCATTAGAAAAGAATATTAGGCAATATTGGAGTTATGTTAACCTTTTAACTGATAACAGATTAAAATGAAAATTAGGAACATATAATACATCATTGAGAAATAATAAATCAATGACTTGAACTACACCAGAATGTGTAGAAGGGACTATTTCTCCAGTAGGCAATTCAACTGAGAGAGAAGTTCTTGAATCAATGGAAGTGAAGAGATTAGTGATAAGTATATTTTATACATGTATTCGGTACCTTAAATAGCGATATTTGATGGTTCTTTTGACAAATTATATTCTAAATTTTTGTTTTTTATGTTTAATAGGTGAAATTCTATAAACAAAAAGGGAATTGAAGGAATGAAGCAAAAAAAGGGGGCAATGCAAAAGTTTGGGGACCAAGTTGTAACAATTCAATAGTTGATCCGGACCATGAATCAAAGATTGAAGAATTTGGAGATCAAGTCCCATATTTTGGAAAGTGAAGGACTTGAATTGAATCAAAGAAGAAATGTGTTGCAAGAATAAAAGGACTCAAAGATTGAATTGCATTACCTTGGAAGACGGAGGATTTGAAGAATAATTTAAGTAATAATGGCTTAAATTGGTGGTTGATTGGACATCTACATGCATGCATGAATTAAACTCCTTCTTTAAGTGAAATAAAGGGCTACAGGCGGGTTGGTAGAAAGAGAGTCCTTTTAAGTAAAAGTTGGTGACTATTAGAATTTTATTCTGAGATATACACATACAGAGAGAGAGGGAATATATTTTTACATATGCACGGCAGCCAATTTTATATATTTTTCATACAGAATTGAGGCTGAATTTTCAGAGACGCACGGAAATTAGAGCAACAAAATTAATTGGAGGGCTGCTGGGATTTGTCTTCTGCCATTAAATTTACACGCACAGAAAACTGAAGAGGAGAGAGAGGGAACACAACAAATTCAATTTTACAAACTATTCATGTTTCCTCGATTAATCTGGTGATGTCTTTCATAAATTCTTGTTTTTCTCTTAATAATATGCGAAGCTAAATTTAATTTTAGGGCGAACAATGTAATCTATTTTGGACCTTTATTTCTTTTATTTGAGATTTTTGTTCTTTTACATTTTATATGTGAATTTTAATTATGTTTTTAATACTTTGAATTTTCTGGCCAATTATTCAATGATTTCGTGAACAATAATTACGTAGAGATGCGGATTCTTATTTAGACCATATATTAAAATTCGGTAAATTAATATAACATGTAGAGATACATATATTAATTGCTGCGGTCCTATAAAAATTCTTAGAACTGTTATTTTGTTTAATTAAATTTAATTTGCATAGAGATATGGAATTGAATTAATTTAATAGACTCAACGAGAACTCGAGAGGGATAAGTTGAATACAATAGAAGAATTCGACCGAACACTACTTTAGTTTTATGAATCTCGATATTAGAAATAAAGGTGACCAATAGGTGAATTTATTCCGCTCTAACTAATCCTCATTTATTACTTGAATTCTCACTAATTTTCTGTTGCATTCACAAAATTTCTAGTAATTAGATTTAAAAATCACATTTAATCATTATTTATTTATTTATTTTCATTAAATAGTAGTTAGGAATAATAAATTGAGTACTAAAGTATAGTCCTAGTGGGAACGATAATTCGGACTCAAAAGATCCACTTTATTACTTGTTACGATCTGTCCACTTGCGGGATAAAATCGACAATAATTAGTGTCACAGATCATATGATCTGTTGCACCAGTGTCAATAATCCATGGAGTGTTGGCATAATTATAAGTGTGTGTGTGGATGGAATAAATAAACAAGTGGATATACCAGACAAGGCAGATGGAGAGTTAGCCCCCGTTTGGTCCCCATTTTTTGAAATGAAAATGGGTAGAATGGTGTTTTTTGAAAAATAAGTGGTTGAAAAGAAGGAAAAAATTTCGATTTACGAGTAATGTTATTTTATGAAATATTATGTGGTTGAATATAAGATAGAGAAAATTGGAAAGTTATGTAATGGGGGCTAAACAGGGGCTTAGTCTTGGAATGATCAATGGTCTGAATATGGTTGGCTGAATGAGTAATCTGTGAGGTATCCTTGGGTCGACGCAAGGCAAGTATTTCTGATATTGTCCCTTGGTTAGAGAAACTTGTTCCTCACTGTCTTCCTACATTGTACCTGATTGATTTGCAAAGCTTCTCTCTCTCTCTGGGCTTTGTGCAGCTTATGATTTGGGAGGTAACCGTGTAACTTATAGAACCTTTCCACAGTATGACCTGTTAAGTTACAGTATGTGCATATTGGTGTTTCAGCATTCCCTACTTTAAAACATATATCCAAAGCATGTCCAGAGATTTTGCAGTATGTGCAATATGGTCTCTCCTTCTTGCCAATGGTACTCACCTTTCCATTATTGAGTGTTTTGTTATCTCCATAGAATTTCCTGGTTGTCATTGCAATGGTTTCATTATTTGTTTCTGCCTTTCTTGCTGTTGAATGTAGGAAAATGCTTTGTTAACTAAGGGGAAGGAGATTGAGCATCATGATTTGAGCTTTTGTGTTGTCATATACTTCATTCAATCTCATCAGGAATTTGATTACATAGTCAAGTTGGTGTCTATCAACCAATATTTTCAATTGTCCACATCTACATTCAGGTATGGGGTCATATTGATAATTCATCCCATATAGTTTTCAACTTACCATAGTAGATGCTTGCACCTGTTCCAAATCAGCCAAAGCTTTCTTCAGGTCATAAATCCTGGTCCATTTCGATGAGAGAATCGATCCTTAAGTTCTACCCATATTTCACTTGCCTCATCCATAAAAGTGACACTGGATCTGAGGGATGGAGATATGGCAATTTGGATCCATGACACCACCATATCATTATAACTCTCCCATGGATCAAATAATGTACTAGATGGTTCTGGTTTGGGTAACGCTCCATTGATGGAACCGAGTTTGTTCTTTGCTCGAAGTGCTTGTCGGAATGCCCTTGACAAAGTGGTGTAGTTGTCTGTAGTTAACATCTCTGTGAACAACACAGCTCCTTGATTATCGAATTCTCCAACCGATAATGATAAAAAAGATCAGGAGTGTGAAGTGGATTTGTGTTCATTTTCAGCAGTATTCATATTAGCAATGGTAGTCATATCTTGCTCTGATACCATGTAAGCAAGGGCAATAGAACGAAGATGATAAAGGAGCTGATATAGTAGAAGAAATGAATTAGAAACTCTTCTTATTCCATAGTGATGATACACACCCAAATATATAGAAGACAAAAGGGTAAATAGGTAAAGTGATATCCTAACAAACTATACAACCAAAAGAATTATTCAGCAGCTAAATATGTTCAATTGTTGTAACTAAGTACACTATACACTAGACAATATATTATACCGTTTATATACACTACGGACTGTTCTACACTTATAGAAGATAAGGTCACTTACAGACATCTCACAGTTTTTGGGCCCACACATATTTTTGGCATTTTTTTATACATCATGGGGTCCGCACACATGTCTCTATTGTGGTGGAATTCTGTAAGAAAAACTTCTGTACATATGGAAAAACTCATACACTATACTCTATAACAATTACAGAGAATCTTGATAATCAAATTCGTGTTATACAAGTTACTTATTAAGTAAAAATTGAAACAATTATTCTTCTAGCTGTCAAAGTAAAAAAAAAAACAAGCAACTTATAAAAGTAATTATCGTAAAAAAAATAATTCTTGAATTCATAATTTTGTTTCAAATATTTATAAATTATTTATAGGAAAGAATAATAATAGTGAATCACATAAAATGAAAGAATAATAATAGTGAATCACATAAAATGTGTAAATAATGATAAATAGTAATTACGAATATATGGTTAAGAATGATTTTATTGGGATAGTTACTTTCATATATTACAATTCTTTTGTGTTTATCTACACAAAAGCGAGTAGTAAAGAGAAATGACATTCATAGAAAAATAACACGGGAAAGGAAGTAAGCGTGCTAGTTATTCAACATGTTACAACAACTGAGATTTTAATTTCTTTAATCAAGTCCAGTTTAATCCGATGTACCAAATTTTAACGAGCAGAGTGCAATACTATGATTGATAGGATTCACCAATGCAGAAACAAATTCTTCTATGTTTCTATCTGAGCTCCCTCCTTCGTCTACCGCTTCTCTTGCCATTTCCTTCCATTTGATTGCATTTGATCGAATTTCTTTCCCTTCATCTCCGTCCATCACAAGTTCTACACACCGCATAATTTCTGTATCTCGAGCAATCTCTTTGTCATCAGCCCGAGTCCTGATTCCTGTTTTCCATATGTCACTCACAAATTTTGCGTTCGTGCTTTGGTCGGACCAACATGGCATTGCCACCATTGGAACTCCCAAACTCAAGGCCTCTAGAGTTGAATTCCAACCACAATGTGTGATGAAACACCCTACTGAATCATGTGCCAGAACCTCCAACTGAGGGCACCATGAAACTATTAGTCCTTTTTTCGAAGTCTCATTTGCAAAATTTTTGGGAAGTTTGGACTCTTCTGATTCTCTAACCACCCATAGGAAACACTTATTGCTCATTATTAAGCCATTTGCCAATTCTTCCATTTGCTCTACTTCTAATCGAACCAAACTTCCAAACGACACGTAAATAACTGAATGATTTTGACGTTCATCCAGCCATTTCTTGCAGGCATCAGTATCTGGTTTTAAGATACTAAAACCATATTCTTTATCATTTAAAAGCCTCTTGTCTAAATACATTGATGGTATGGTTGGTCCAATTGCCTTAACACGCCAAAAGTTTTCCATCCAATCAATCACCTATCAAAAATATTGTAGAAAATAATGAAAATTTTGCGAAGATCATCAGAGAACATACAACATATCAACTGTCTTTGAGCCCTAGTTGGAGGGTTGTACTTGTAAGGCATTACTGTATTGTAGAGTCTAATCCCGTAGAGAATGATGGGTTAGACTATACAACACTAGACACGATTAATCAAGAAAAATGACTTTAAAATTTTTTCCCGATGTTATATATAGTACTATTCGATACTGCAAACTAAACATGCCCCACGTGTAATAAAGACAAGCTTTCTAGTTGCATACCTCTTGTTCCAACTTGTTAAAAGTATTGACAAGAACCCAGTCTGCTTTCTCCACATTTTGGAACTGATTTAAAACTACTTCAAAAGCTGTTGCATATGATCCATAATCATAAATAAAAGAAGGCATGTCTGAAGATTCCAGCACTGGCAATCCAAGAACCTTAATTTCATTTTCAGTAATAGGAAGTTTAATCTCCCCTTTGTAGACATAGTAGAAAATCAGATCCACAGCACAAGACTGAGTCAAGAATGCAGCACCAACTAGTCCAAATTTCTTGGATACATCAAGATCCCATGGAAAAAATGGATCATAAATTATACAATCAACAGCAGTATCAGAAGAGTTGTTGAGCTTTTCAATCAATTCTGTCAAAGTCTTCGGGCCAACTTCTCGAAATTTTTCTATGCATGCTTCTGTGCTTCCAGCCTCAACAACCCCTCCATTGTCATAGCCATCAGAGATTGTCTCCACAGGAATGGATCCTAAACTTTCTTGAAGGACCTTGTACAAGTATTTTGTTGTAACCAATGTTGTTCTAATACCTTTATGGGCTAAACGCTTAGAGAACTGAAGCATAGGATTTATGTGACCTTGGAGTGGATATGGCAAGATTAAACAATGAGGTTTATGTTCTTTGTTTAACTTCTCCATTTCTAAACTCTGTGCTGACTGAAAATCTTAAATCAATACTCGATGCTTTTCAATACAGGGGTGAGGACAAGGATTATATGCTTCTTTTTTTATGTATTTAATTTTTAGTTCTGTTTGAATTAATCAACTTGCACAAGATGGCCTCATCTTCCTATTTCTCCAGCTTGACATTATAATACTACATAATTTTGGCGTGGGAGTTTGTGCAACAAAGGATTTATTAAGCGCCCTATGCTCTTGATATATCAGGTAAAATTACTTCACCTCTTTGTGTCGAGATTTAAAAATCCAATTCTGTATGGTCGAGACGAAAAAATTACAGAAAGAAAATAGACGCACAAAAACACATAGAATTGATCGATCAACCCGCACACCTCAGGAGAGAGTTTTCTTTTTTCCTTCCAAGTCCCATCGCGATAAAGTTAATTCTTGTACTGACTTCACATGACGACAATAATTAAGCTCTTCAATTAAATACTTTGTTATATTAATTTCAATGCTTTCATCACAAGATCTTCTATATTATATCTCTTTATATTCAAAGACATAACTCATGCAAAGTTTTGATAATTAGACCAATTAACGAGTATAAACTTTCAATCAATACACCATTATCTAATAAATGACGACACCATCATATCAAAATATTGATTCTTTTGATATGACTTCTTGAAATGAATATTTTCATTCAATACCCCCACCCCATCATGAAATATCAAATGCTTTATAACTTATTGCAATAATGACCGACATTTCTTTAATGAATTGCACTTGAGCAAACCGATTTGTATTAAAAAATATACCTAAGTATTTCAAGATATTAGACCCATTTAAATATTCATGTAATCAGTACAAGAACAAGTAATGATTATGTATAATCGATATTTACATAGAAATGTATAGGAAAATTTTTAAAAATACCGTTTAGGTTCTAACGTTTACCAATTTTTATTGTTCCACTTGTGAATGTAAATAACGACAACTATTGTAGAAAAATAGGAAAGTTTGTGGAAATTTTTTTCGACTTTTTAGGTTAAAGTATCGATAGAAAAATTGCTTAAAATTTTATAATGAAATTACAATTTCTTTCACTTCTAAGTTGGTGAAATTGGCATATTTTCAAAATTAAATTTCAGAAGCAATGAAAAAATAACAGTTTTAAGATATTAAAGGTATCAATTAATGAAGTAATACCTAATTATATGAATTTTCAATTTTATGAAATTCACTGTATTAATAAGTTCAAGACATTAATTCCCAACATTAATAAATAATACAAATTATATAATTAAGAAAACAATGTAAATTAAAATAGACTCTTCATATAACGAAAAAGAATAGTATAAATTTTAATTT